AGCAGTCTAAAAGTTGTCTTTTAGTGAAACATGCAGAATTTTAGGACGTGTCTCTCCGATCGCAACCCCTCAAACTCTATAAATTGGACATTCTTGGTGGTCTGAATTCATTCCATATCATATTCATTAATTACTTTCTATCAAAACATTCCACAAAAGTTATTTTTCTAGCATCAAAAACAGCAAAATAAAAGAGAGAAATTTTTATTTTGAGTTCTCTGTTTCCTTGAAATTTGAAATACTTCTACTATGAGGAGGAATCGTTGTATCTTGAGAGACGCTTGTCATGATTGTGGCATCGTCGTCGTACAAATCCATCATAATGAAGTGTTGAACACTTGTCTCAATTTTGCATTCTTCATTTTTGTTCTTCATGTTCTGCAACATTATTGACATTCCAAGTAAGCTTACTTTGATTTATTGTTTAATTTAGTTTCAAATATAATTTGGAAACACACACACAAAATACCCCAACATTGAATGTGCTTACCAGAGAAACTAACCATATATTCCTATAAACACCATAAAAATGTAGCTTATTAATTTCCGTAAGTTGGTTTAAAGTTCAACACTGGAACTCAACCTAAAGCAAGTTGGAATTATTGTACCACGATCCTCTGTATCAACTGCCCTATAACCGTAGTAAACCCTACGTACTACAGTCCTTTTTAATGGTCCTTGAATTAGCTTCATCATTTTTATTACTTTCATGTGCTTCTAATTAACATGCCAACTGATTGCACTAAAGATCCAACTCTCTCTCTCTCTCTCGTGTATGTTTGTGCAGCGCATTCGTTTAGACCTCAAACTTGGCTAAACGTAGGTTATCACTTGCCTCACAGTGCCCCTTTTAGTGCCTTTAAAAGGCGACATGACCATCTCCAAGTAACTCTAATGGATGCGAAATATGACATTAAACTACTGCTTTTCATTTTTGTTAACGAGGTCAAACCATTAGTTCCATGCATATACTTAATTTCATTATTAATCTGTAAAAAAATTTATAGAACAAATTCCATAAAGTTGCAATTGGAATTATAATTCGATTAAAATTTTGATTGACAAGGGCACTGGGTAGCAGAGACAAGCAGCAGAAAGTAAAGAAAAGTGAATGGAATATTGAAAAATCAAAGTATGGACTCATGCAGAAGAAGAGTTAAGAAGGAACATTTTTGTAGCTCGAGGAAATCTTGAAAATACCAGAAAAGTTGAAGCCATAGATGTTGTTGTCATCAAATTATGACACTCTTTCAATTATTATTATTAAATATTTCTACCAAAGTAAATTAGTCGTACGGCATCAGCATTGAGAAAGGAAAACTTTCTTCTCCTTTCGGCTACATGTTTCCAAAATAATGAGACTGAAATTCATGTACAATGTTTTCTTTATGTATTTGTTTAATGAGTCATCATACGATATTTTCTTTCATCTCACAGTGGAGTAAAAATAAAAATATAGATCAATATATAAGAGTTTGAACTAATCATCTTTATCAAGTTGACATTTTAAAATGAAATTTCAAGGTTTGATATGATATTAGAGTCCATTAAGTTCTAACAAACTTGCAAAAACATATTAAAGGATAAATTCATATGAAAATATAAATCAACATATAAAATTTTGAATTACCGCTTTTAATAAAATTAATTTGTTAACATGAAATTTCAAGTCTTAATACTTACCACAGTTATGTACAGATAATTAATCAAAGTGT